TATTGGTACTGTAGCAGTTGAGTTACCCGCTTTTCACTTATTTCTGCTGGAGCGTCATGACTACATTCAGGTCCAAAGAAAATGCTCTTGTTGAGATGCTCTACCATTGGACCTTCTAAAACAACGGAAGTAATTTCCAAGGCCCTTCTGTAGGTTATAGACAGGCTTCATGAGAACTACAATGACACAGCCCTTTCCCTTGCTACTGGAGTAACATAAGAAGCCCTGAGATGTGTGGGGGAAGGCTTGTATTAGGGTTCTTCTCCATTACACCAGTGTCCAGAAGGAGCCACAGTGGCATATGAAAGAGCCATGAAGTTGCTTCTTCCCAGGTGCCCTGGGGCTTTTGCTTTGGCCAAGCAATGCACAAAGGAGCTTCACTGCCAGTTGGCCCCAAAGTGCAGTGAAAATGCTTTTGCCTTGGCCCAGCAATGCACAAAGGAGCTTCACCGCAGAAGCCCCCATTACCACCAGCATAACATCCTGCTTTGGGAGCCAGTTGGCCCCAAAGTGCAGTGAAAATTTTAAAACAATAGGACTGTAGTCAAAAAGTGCAAACTTCAGCTTAAAGGTAAAGGTTCCCTTGCTCGAAAGCCAGTCGAGTCCGACTCTAGGGCCGCCGGAGGAAGTCGTCGACCCATCCAGAGGCGCCGGGAGCAACATCTGAAAGCCCGCCCGAATAACAAGAATGCGCCGCTTGGGTGCTGGTAGGCAGCCCCTTCCCCCATACGAATTGTGGCCCTAGGTAGGAATTAATTAGTATATATGTAAACCGCTCAGAGACCCCTCGGGGTCAAGGGCGGTATATAAATCGAATGTAATAAATAAATAAATAGGGTTGCGGTGCTCATCTCCGTTTCAAAGCCGAAGAGCCAGCGCTGTCCGAAGACGTTTCCGTGTTCATGTGGCCGGGTGAACAATGGTTGACTGTCTATTGGGCTGAATCCTGCGATATGTTGGCAGAAAGCAGTGACAGCTTCAGGACTTACTGACTCTCCATTCCCTCCAGAAGCCATTTCTTACATCAGGAAAGTTTATTTCCAGGGTTACAAGTCCTACATGGGGTAATAGCCACATGGATGGGAAGGCTGCAATGCGAAAAGGGATGAAATTTCTCCCTTCTGCCTCTTGTGTGAGTGAGTCTCCGCTGGCAGAAGAGGCAGAGTGGAGTGATTTTGTCCTTTCCCCCTCCCTATTTCAGCCTCCTGACCTGGTGGCTATTACTCCACATAGGTCCTACAACTCCCAAAGGCCAGATCTCACTGTTTTGGGGGAAAGGAGAGCTGGGAAGATCAGGGACTCTTGCATGGATTTGCCAAGATCCTGGCACTGGATTCATCCCATTATTATTATTTTTTACCAAATGTCAGAGTAAAGATTAAAATGTATCCTGAAACAATGTATTTTAATATGATGTGTGGTATCAATTAGATTGTATGTGAATGCAAAATTATGTCATAAAAGTGGTGTACAACTACTTTTAAGACAAGAGAATTAAGAATTTGTTCAGGGATGTGGGATGATGGAAAGAATCGTGACAAGGATGTGTATGAGATACCTTTCAGCTTGTTCAGTCTGAGGATGTGGAGAGGATTATTGGAAGTTTGACACTGCGTGCTGCACAACCCTTGCCCCTTACAGCTGCTTAAATCTCCCAGGAGGGGCTGGCAAACTGGGTCTGTGAGACGGTAAGAACATAAGAGAGCCTGCTGGATCAGACCAGTGGTCCATCTAGCCCAGGATCCTGTCTCACACAGTGGTCAACCAGTTTCTCTGGAGGGCCAACAACAGGGCATAGAGGCTGAGACTTTCCCCTGTTGTTGCCTTCTGGCACTGAGATTCAGAGGTTGACTGCCTTTGAACGTGGAGGTTCCCCTCAGTCACCATGGCTAGTAGTCACTGATAGACCTATCCTCCATGAATCTATCACCCCCTTTTAAAGCTGTGTTTATACCTGTGGCCATCCCTACATCCTCTGGCAGCAAATTCCACATTTTAATCACTTTCTGTGTAAAGAAGTATTTCCTTTTGTCTGTCTTGAATCTACTGCCCATCAGATTCATTGGATGCCCTCAAGTTCTAGTATTTTTGGAGAGGGAGAAAAATTTCTTGGTCAACTGTCTCCACCCCATGCATAATTTTATAAACCTCTACCATGTCCCCCTTTAATTGTCTTTTTTCTAAACTGAAAACTCCCAGACTCCTTAGCTTTTCCTGATAGGGAAGGTGCTCCAACCCCCTAATCATCTTGGTTGCCCTCCTCTGTACTTTTCTCAGTTCTGTGATGTCCTTTTTGAGATACAGTGACTAGAACTATACACAGAATTCCAAATGAGTCCACACTATAGATCTATACAGTAAATGCCTCCCTGAGGTACAGGGTGATCACCCCTGCCTTGAAGCAGACAGTGGTGTGCCCACTCCTAAAGAAACCTGCTCTGGACTCCAAGAGAGTTCAGTAACTACCATCCAGTCTCAAATGTACCGTTCTTGAGCATGGCAATTGAACAAATGGTGTCTGAGCAGTTTAAGGCTTCCTAAATGGTTGATTGTTAGGATTCATTTCAGCTGGTTATGGTCCGTTCTTGAGCATGGCAATTGAACAAGTGGTATCTGTATCTGAGCAGTTTAAGGCTTCCTAAATGGTGGATTGTTAGGATTCATTTCAGCTGGTTATGGGACTGAAACAGCCTTGATTGCCCTGCACCAAGAGATAGACAGGGGGAATGCAACCCTGTTAATTTTCCTGGACCTCTTGGCAGCTTTTGATATCACCAATCATGGTATCCTTCTGGATCGCCTTTTGGGGTTGTGACTGGAAGTCACCGTTTTGCAGTGGGTTTTGGTCCTATCTCAAATGTAGGTTTCATAGTGTGGTGCTGGGGGATTACTATTCCTCTGTCCCTTGGCATCTCCCAAGGTTCTGTCTTGTCCCCCTTGTTTTTCAATATCTATGTGTAGCTGCTAGAGAGGTCATCCAGAGATTTGGGCTGAGTTGCCATCAATATGCAGATGACACTCACCTTGGTCACTTGCTACCAGCAGATCTCAGGGAGGCTTTGGAAACCATAAGCGGGTGCCCGAAGGCAGTTTTGGAATAGAGGAGAGCTAACAAACTATAATTTAATCCTGACAAAACTGAGGTGCTTTTGGTGGGAGGAAGGTTTGATCCAGGAAATGGGTTTATCTCCTGTTCTGGATGGGGTTACACTTCCCTTAAAGGAACAGGTTCACAGCTTGGCGGGTGCTGCTGGATCCACATCTCCTATTGGAAAAAGACGTGGCTGGGGTGCCATTCACCAGCTTCAGCTCTAGTGAGCCGGGTGCAGCCCTTCCTGGGTAGGAAAGATCTTTCCATTGTGGTGGATTCCCTGGTAACACCTAGATTAGATTATTGCAATGCCCTCCGTTTGGAGCTGCCCTTGAAGATTGTCCAGAAGCTATAGTTGGTACAGAATGCTGCAGCCAGAATGTCGACTGGGGTGGGTTGTAGGGACCATATCACTCTAGTCTTCTTCCATCTACAGTGGCTTCTGACTTGCTCCAGGGCCCAGTTCAGGGTGCTGATATTAAAGCCCTATATTGCTTGGGGCTAGCATACCTGAAGGGCAATCTACTCCCAAAAGAACCTACTCGAATATTCCGGTTATCTTCAGAGGCCTTGCCTCAGTTGCCCTTGCCATCTAAGGCTAGACTGGGTGACAACAACTTTTAATAGTTGAGGATCAAATTCAAGGACATAGTTGCTTGTTTTGAAACACTTTGATTCTGGTATGCTTTGGTAATAATGCCCTGACCTGGATGGCCCAGGCTAACCGAATCTCATCAGATCTCCGAAGCTAAGTAGAGTTGGCCCTGATTAGTATTTGGATGGGAAAACACCAGAGAAGCAGAGTCGCTTGCACAGGGGGGTGCAATGGCAAGCCACCTCTGGGTTGCCATAAGCCAGCTGCAAGTTGATGGCACTTTCTACCACCACCACGGTAATAAGAAATGAAAAAAGAGAATGTTAGAATTGCCTAGCCTAGTGAACGGTTCATTTGAAAGTTATCTCTCAATTACTCCTACATGCTTAATAAAGTACCTATGTTGAGATTTGTTAATATGCTAACCTAACTGCTAAAATTTAAACAAACAGTTTATTAGTTACCTGATAGTTACCCACTAATCTTTAATGGGATGATAACCCAAAGCAATCAAAATCTCTCTCTGACTGGGGCTTTTCAGATGAAGGGATGGAGTTTCACTGGGGTTGCCAACTCAGGGTTAGGAAATTCCTGGAGATTTTATGGATGGAGGCTAGGGAGGGTAGGATTAGAAGAGAGGACGGATCTCCTTGGGGTAATAAAACCATAGAGTCCACCATCCAAAGCAGCCATTTTCTCCGCGGGAACTGGCCTCTGTAGTCTGGTGATCAGCTGAAATTCCAGGAGATCTCAAGGTCCAAACTGGATGTTGGCAGTCTAAAGTTTCACACATTGAAGGTGCTTCTTTCTAAGTTGCTTCTGTTGTGTATCGTGAGAGGAAATACAGACTGCCCTATATAGTCCTCAGAATAAAACTAGAGCACTACATTCTAGGTCAGTGGTGGCGAACCTATGGTACGGGTGCCAGAGGTGGCACTCAGAGCCCTCTCTGTGGGTACGCGTGCCATCGCCCCAGCCAGGCCCAGACCATCATTAAAGTGTCGAATTCTCTGCCAAATAATTTTAAGTAAATGAAAGCATTTGGAATTGCTTTCCTTACTTTGTTTGGATCATCTTAAGTTAATGTATGAGTTGTTTTTTCTAAAGTAAAACCTCAGTATTCAGGTTAAATTGCCGTGTTGGCACTTTGCGATAAATGTGGGTTTTGGGTCGCAGTTTGGGCACTCGGTCTCTAAAAGGTTCGCCATCACTGTTCTAGGTCTTTGTCCCTGAAATGTATGGGTCTTTTTGCAAAAGTGTATTTTATTCTGCAGTACATTGCCTGACATTCTGTTTTTCTCTGTCTCTCTTCAGGCTGGTCCCTTTGTTCCTATGCTTGGCCTGCATCCAAATCTATTAATCTTGAAAACAAGTATGCTGAATATGGTCGTAGGTTTAGACGTTTGCCATGAAGAGTCAAACACTATGGCTTCCCAGAGCTGAAAAACACTTCATGTAACAACTCTAGCAATGTTTCTGGATTATATCAAAGAGTTGCATCTTTGTACTGTACAAAATAGTAAGATCAGAGCACTTTTGATAATGTGACCATCATGTGAAGAAGGGGACCTTTTGGATCTGCCTGATCCAAGAAAAGTTGCAGGTAAGAAGAGTTTTATTCATTGTTGTTTCTTGTTCAGAAGGCCTCACGAAAGGTTATTTACCTTGGAGAGAGAGCTTGAATTTAAGTATCTTCAATTTGTGTTTCTTCAGGGTACAAAGGGAAGGTCATTTCTTTATGAAATATGATGGCTTATATCCAATCATCAGTGGGAACATATGGCAAATACTGATTTGATGATCTCGCCCTCTTCCCTCCCGCACATGCAGAATTGTCCTTCTGTCTTCTTTCTTGCTGAGCAGCCCCTGTATTTTTTTCTTATTTGTTTGTCTAAGGCTGTCCCACCTAGTCACTTTAAGATTGATAGATGATAGATAAATGATGGATGGATGCTGACCCAGCCCAGGGAACTGAGGGAAGAGACAAAATCATCATTTTATATTCTGCTACTGAAATTGCACACAAGAGACTTTTGAAAGTTTAAAATAAACAAATGTTTTATTTAACTTGGAGGAGAAAAGGTCAGATGGAATCAGGTGTAGGGTGTATGAGGTGAACAGATAATAAAACTAAGGTAACTTTGTATTCTCACAAAGACCAGATAATTTGTTGCCAACAAGTAAGTGTTTCTACTATTCTACAAGGTCTTTAAAACCTTGAGGAGAGAGGCTTTCTTTTCAGTTTCTGAAAAGTTTCTGATTAAACACTGAAACATAGGTTTATGAGTTTCACTGACACGTAAAGTTTAGAAGGCAGGAACATACAACCAACTTCCCAGAATCCTTCTTTATATGCAGACCAGGGGTCGCTCCTCTTCACTAGCAGCTATTTCCCTTCTTAACTGGGCAGGGTCGGGATAACTTCTCTTTTCTAAAGTCTATCTCCCTTCTTTTTGGTTTGAATGAGAATCCTTCCTGATCCACTCACTCCTTCAGCCTCTTCCAGTCCACAGTCAGTGCTTAACTGTCTCTTATTCAACCATCAGTTCCCAAATGTCATTCCTTAACTGATTCTCTCAACAGAATTCTGTTGGAACAGCCTGTCACTCAAAGGTTCTCAGACTCTGTTAGACATTAACCCTTGACAGTCTGTCACAACTGACTTTTCCCTGCATCCCCTCATCTCAGTAAACCCTTTTGAGCCCCTGGGAGGATCATTTCTAGAGTTTTGGGATCTGTGTGGACAAAAAACAGCTGGGGAGCTGCAGAGACAAGGATAAAGGGGGCAAAGTGGTCCCCCTTCTCCTTCCATCACCATAGCTGCGCTTGAGTGAGACAGAGTGCTGGAAGGCAATTTGGCCTTCCTTGTCCTCTGAACAGCCCTCTAGTCCATGTAACTTTTTGTCAGCGTGGGTTTTGCAGCTCCAGGAATCATTTTGTAGGTGGTTGAAAAGGACTTCTGAGGGAAGGCAAACCCAGGGAAAATTGGTCGCCTTTTATTGTTAGCTGGATCCAAACCAGTGTAGGAAAATAGCAATATTTCTTTGGATTTGAAAAGGTGGATTTAAAGTGCTGAAAAATGCTATTTCCAAGAAATCTCTTGAAATCTTGTATGCTGGAATTGTTTTAACTAGCCTCTAACATTAAAAACTGTGCAAAGCTGGAGATTGCATGGGTTTCTTTTATTACTGGGATATGTTACATCTAAGGATTACATTTGACTTTTGCTTTTCTGTTTGATTAGGAATATACTCTACATAGGGCTGATTTCTCCACTTTAGACCCTGATTCTAAATATATATAAGCTCCACTGATGTTAGTGGAACATTTTATATCTAAAACAGGTTTAAGTTCGATAGAACACCTGTTTCCTTGTTTTTTAATATGTTACGGTTGCCAGGGAAGTTGAAGTTGTGTGACTGAATGTGTTTTCTTCCATTGTAGGTGCTTTAGGGCATATTATAAAGAATAAGCATTCAGTCTAGTTTAGATACTGACCACAGTTTTTGTGTTATAATTGTGGTTCATGTGCATCTTATCATCCACTCTGTAGGACTTCTTACCAAGTCCGCTGTATTTTCTGCTTATCGAAATTATCTGATAACCAGTGGAGGCAGTGTTATGAGCGATGTAACATTTTTTTTGGTTGTTGAAGTTGCAGGCCCATCGGTTTGATGAATAGCTGTTTCTTGGGGAAAGAATTGAACAAAAAGTCTACGTTTTTACATCAATAAATATTTATATAAGAACTATGCTGGTTAATGTCAGCATACTTCAAAACAATTTTATGGTATTTGTATCTAATATGAATGTTATTGCTAAAAATCTGCTCCAGCTATGACATTTATCACAATGCTATTAGGAGATCTATGGTCTTGGGAACTAAACTTTCCCTGAAATCTTTGAATAATGCAGTAGTTGTGCAGCTATGAGAAATTCTTAGTTATAGCCACACACCTAGAAGAGCCTTTAAAGATGACTTTTAAGCATCAAATTATTTGCAGAGTTATATTCTTTGCCACTTACAAAAGCAAATGGTCTATCTTTATCCATTCTATTCAGTTTTCCAGATTGATCGCCCCTTCTGTTCAGTAGCTTTGGTTGCCAGTGGTATTTTGAAAGGGCTGTGTTTATATTCTCACTTTCCAAAAATTCAAGTTCTGGAGGCGTGCTCCTGTGTGTCAGCAAAATAGAAGTATACGCATTCTACGCTCAGACAATCTCTTTGCCATTTCCTGAAGAAGAAAAGCACAAATGCCAGCTGCTATTTGGATCTGACTGCTGTACAATGGGAATCTGCCTCCTCCTTGAAATAAAGAGCTAAAAGAGCCTGCTTTCCGGATTTTAACTACCTTAAATTGATAGACAAAACTTTTTTCTTTTCAGCTGAGTTTTAAGCAAGGCACATCTACTGTCTTTCCTCAGGGCCAAAGTAACCACAGTTTTGGGAGATCTGCCAGTTTCAATTTTAATGGAAATGCAGACAAAGGAAGGGGGGCTGTAGAGAGTTGAATGCAACCCTAACACTGTGGAAAGGGAGGGGGGATTAACTCTTCTTTTGCAGGCCTTTGTTGTAATCAGAATCCATCCCGCTCCAACTGCTTTCCCACCTAAGGGGGAGAATGTGATTCTCTGGCTGATATCTTCTTTTTTTTAGGAAGGCAATGCAAATCTAACGTTTTCATTTATACATAATTTGCTGGGGGCGCAGCTGTGAAGGGCACGGAAGGGCGCTGCTGCTCTCTGAATTGTTTCTCAGGGATTTGTTTCATTCTAATAGGGTGCTTATGGCCATAGCAAAAGAATGAGGACGAATGCAAGCTTTTCCCTGATGAAGTATGTTAGGTAGCTGAAACAAATACCTTGCTGCTGAATCAACAGGGTGACTTTTTTCACAGTTGAGGAAGGAGTAATGCGGAGGGGAGAATGGTAACAGCTACAGCCGTTCCACGTCATTGACAACTAGTTTGTAGCTCTGACAGTATTCCAGAATGTGTTTGTGGTACGCTGCATCAAGATCTGAATACCCTGCCTGTTTGCTTTGCTAAACTGGGCCTTTGTGACACCCAGGCCAGCCTGAAGTGATGGGTAGAGCCTTGGCTACCACCCTTTCCATCTTCTTTCCTCCCTATGGCTTTCCTTTCCCTGCTTTGCAGTTACAGGGCCCGTACATTTTGGAGGTAGGGTTGCCAACTCTGGGTTGCAAAATTCCTGGAGATTTTGTGGGAGGAGCCTGGGGAGGGACCTCAGCAGAGTACAATGCCATAGAGTCCACCTTCCAAAGCAGCCATTTTCTCTGGGGGAAGTGATTTCTGTAGCCTGTTGTAATTCCGGGAAATCTCCAGCCGCCACCTGGAGGTTGGCAACCCTATTTGGAGGGGCTATATCAAGCATGCTGAACATATTTAAGATACATAGATGTTTTTCAGCCTGATCAGCCTAAATATGTTTCCGCTTACTATAGTTTCCAAATGTACAGTGGGCTAGATCCTGACAGCTTTGCTGCTCCTGCAAGAGGGTGGAACGGCAATTGCACTCAGTCCCACTCCCTCTAGTTGCTTCATCCCATATGGTATTTTCTCCACATAGATCCCATGATCCCTTGCACGGCTTTCTCAGGATTCAAAAGGGGCCACTTCCCCCCCCCCTCCTGCATCAGTGGAAAATCTGGTAGAATCAAATCCTATATATGGAGGCCAGGGTTATAAATATCATTGCTGACTTTCTACTGAACAGTAGTTGAAGTGGTAACTTGATTATGGGAGATGATTGGGGGGTCAGAGCATCCTTGGACTGCTGAATGCAAATTGGGGTTAAATCTTTGAAATCTTGTTTGCTGTTAAAATTGGGCGAATTGTTGGACAAGTGCTATCGTTGACAAACTTTCAAATTAGAAATAACTGTGAAAGGCTCCTTCACATGGCTGCAGTGTTAAGTATTTTGTCTTTGTTTAGGTTTTTCTGCAGGAATCTACAAACTTAGGCTTTTGATAACCTTAAGTGAAGATAACTAGCAAAATGCCTCCAAGACCATCATCTGGTGAACTGTGGGGCATCCACTTGATGCCCCCTAGAATCCTTGTGGAATGTCTTCTACCTAATGGTATGATAGTGACTTTAGAATGCCTCCGTGAGGCCACATTGTTAAATATTAAACACGAACTCTTTAAAGAAGCTAGGAAATACCCTCTCTACCATCTCCTTCAAGAGGAGTCATCTTACATTTTCGTAAGTGTTACCCAAGAAGCAGAAAGAGAAGAATTTTTCGATGAAACCCGGAGATTATGTGACCTGCGGCTTTTTCAACCTTTTCTAAAAGTCATAGAACCAGTAGGCAACAGAGAAGAGAAAATTCTGAATCGTGAAATTGGTGAGGATTTTTGTATTTAGATATGTTTATGGGTAGGTGGCAAGGAGGACTGTAAAGAGAATTTAGAGGTTTTGGATTGTGTGAAAAAGTTGTCACATCGTACTGGCTATTGTAGTAGGTTTCTTCTTGTGAGCACCCAATCATATTTTCTCTAACAATGAACTTTTCACCTGAATGAATAAGTATTGATACATTTGCATTGATTTAACACACTCATTCATACACACAGACATACATCACAGTGTTATTTAATTATACCCCACCTTTCTCCCCAGTGGGAACCCATTATCTTGTTTCCTGCATTTTATCCACACCACAATCCTGTGAGGTCAGTCTGAGTGTGTGTGACTGGTCTAAGATTACCCAGCAAACTTCCATGACAGAATGGGGATTCAAACTGCGGGCCTGATGGAAGCCCTTCGGGGGGCCCATTCGGCCCCCGGGCCGCATATTTGACACCCTTGGCTTAGAGGGAGCATTGTTTGGAAGTCTCTTGAAACCTTTTCACCTTGTTCCCTGTCACAAGGAAGGGGCTGTGGCTCAGTGAAAGAGCGTCTGCTTTGTATGCAGAAGGTCCCAGGTTCAATCCCCAGCGTCTCCAGTTGAAAGGACCAGGTAGGAGGTGATGTGAAAGACCTCAGCATAAGACCCCAGAGAGCCACTGCCAGTCTGAGTAGACAATACTGACCTTGATGGACTGATGGTCTGATTCAGTATAAGGGAGCTTCATATGTTCAAACCAGGGTTTCACAGATCATAGTCTGACATTCTAACCACTATACCACACTGGCTCTTAATAGGATGTAAGATCCCTAAAAATCATAGCATGTACTACTTATTTGAGAAATTATTGGCATATATTTGATATGGATATGATTTTTAGCTTAATGACGGGACCTGCATTGGCCATATCCTTTTACAGGAAAGAGAAAACTCCACCATGTTTTATAGCACCTGGGATTTTACTTTTGTGACAAAACAATCGGGTACATGCAAAAAAAACAACAACCACCCAAAGGAATAAATAGGCTCCCTCTTCATCAGCCATTCACATGCCATGACTCCACATTAGCCAGACCTGTGAACAGCCACTGGCAGCCCTTTTTGCAAAGGTTGCTCTCTCACAGCCGGCCATCAGATATCTAATCCTGCCTTCCTCACCACCTACTGGGCTCCAGCAAAAGGGCTGGAGTTGGTCTCCTCCAGGGGTCATTTCGTAGAAAAAGAGCTAGGGGGACTCATTAGCATAACTCATTAGCATATGCCGCCCCCCCTGACATCACCGGAAGTGTGTCCTCCCCACAGCCGGCGGCGACCTCCAGCGGGCACCAGCAGGGAGCTCCAGGCCCTGCCCTCCTGCACCTCACCCGGGGGGATGGCATCCCCCCGCGTCCCCCCCCAAATGACCCCTGGTCTCCTCAATAGGGTTGCCAGCCTCAAGGTGGGGTCTGGAGATCTCCTGGTATTATAATTGATCTCCAGACCACAGAGATCAGCTCCCCTGGAGAAAATGGCTGCTTGAGAGGGTTGATTCTATGGGATTGTTCCCTGCTTAGGTCCCTCCCCACCCTCTTCAGGCTCCACCCCCAAATCTCCAGATATTTCCCAACCCAAAATTGGCAGCCCTACCCCCCTATCTTGGCTCCATGGAGCTGACCCAAGAACAAGCTCCACTCCACCATGCAGCTGTTTTGCTCTGGCGAGGAAGTTCCTGGCTTAGGCAGAAAGATGGTGAGGGGTCTACCTCGTCTTGGTTCCTTGTGTCCAAGATGTAGGGATTCCGATGATACAGCCCATTTGGCTGAGTCCAATCAACAACTGAAACTTGTTCGGGGATAAAGGAAGCTGCATTTGGACAATGCATGCCAGTCTGCAAATCCCTTACAGTTTAAAAGATTGGGTGTGGGAGAGAGTTCCTGTCTCTGCTTTTACACTGCAGGATGAAAGGAAGCAAGCGATGTTCCTCTTGCTTCTCTTCAGCCTAGTATCCAGTCCCAGTTGGTTGAGAGCTAGGCCTGTACACAGCTGTCTGTTACCAGCGTTGATAGGCAGCACAAGAGTAATGCCTGTAGTCCCTGCTGGTGTTTGGCACTAGGCAAGGCAGGAAGTCAATCTGATTACCAAAAGAGTTCCCTTCCTACTTAGAGCATAACCCTACTCTCAACTAGCACTCCCCAGCCCCATGTGCTATGCTCTGTCTGCACGCCATATATCCACATTGCTATTCTCCTTTGGAAGGACGAGGAGACCTGAATGTGTGGGAAAATAGAAATCTGTGCTCACTAGGTTGGATCCAACAGGAAGAAGATACTTCCACTCACACGAGGAGGGCAGTGTTCCCTCTAAGCTGAATTAGTGTGAGCTAGCTCACAGTTTTTTAACCTCCACAGATTTTTGTCTTAGCTCAGGAAGGATGGCTCCAGAGCAAACTAATTTATGCAGTAGCCAAATCACTCGCTCACAACTTTAATGCCAATAGCTCACAAAGTAGAATTTTTGCTCATAAGACTCCACAGTTTAGAAGGGAGCATTGGAGGAGGGATCTGTAACTTACAGCTTTTCTACTTGAGCTTCATCCCACACTGCTCTGGAAGGTCCCTTGACCCTGAGAACAACTTCTCTGGCGGTGTGGGGATTTGCTGCAGAAAATGAGAGGAGGAGGGAGACTTGATTCTGCCGACAGAGATCCACTCATGGGTCTTTTGGTCCAGCCTATTGTTTTCTTTAGGAAACTGCTGCCAGGATAAATGCTTAGATCTTCGACGTGGTCTCTGTGCTTCACACCCATGGGATCTAGTGCGCACGCGCTAGATCGATCGGCATTGTAGCAAGCTCTTTAATGGATTTTTGTGCCCAGTCCCTCGGGCATGCGCAGGAACCCCACCGCGCATGCCCAGAGGGGTGGGTGCGGACATCCCGCCAGTTCCTTTCTTACTGCCGCATTGGAAAGACTTTTCTCTGATGGTCTGATCGGTTTGCTATTTTTGGCTATTTGCCTCACAGCTCTTTGGATTTTTCCTCGCTTTTCTACCTTTTTTCGTGTTATTTCTTTGTTACCTACCAAAAAAAAAAGACTTTATTTTTCCTGAGGGGGGGAAGTTCCATTTACTTCAGCTTGGCCTTCGGGCTCTACCCCCCCTCTCCCCCACTCCTGGGTCTTTTGGTCCAGCCTATTGTTTTCTTTAGGAAACTGCTGTCAGGATAAATGCTTAGATCCATTGATCCAATCCCCCTTGGGTTTTAAGTATCACTCAAACCAGTAAACAAGTTAGTTGTCATAACTAAGCTGGGTCCTGTTGCTTTCAGGTTCACTGTCATCAGTATTGGTTTTTAGCAGACAAATATGCATTGATTCTGAAGTTGTAAGGTGCAAGGGATCTTTGCTTCTGAGGAAATCAAGTGAACCTGGGGCTCCCTACAATTAGGAAGCAAAACATGTATGCCCATTTAAATTACTAGCGTTTCTTATTTCAGTGGAGATTACATGTCGATAAATATGCTTTGATCAGGCTTTCAGATACTATTAATGCAAAACAAAAAAAGGATTTCCTCCAGCACAAATAACTTGAAGATAATTTAACAAGTCCTAGTAATAGGGTTATGAGGTAATACAATGAATTGCTGTTCTGTAATTAGCACTTAAACATACATATGACCTTGCAAAATGTAGGATTTTTAAAACCTGTTTATTCAAGAGGAATCTAATCATCAGGTTTCTAGAGATCCAGTCTGGTATAATAGAGTTTCAGACTAGGGAGACCATGTCTGAATACCCCCTCTGCCATGAAAGTTTGCTAGGAGACCTTGGACCAGTCACACACACTCAGCCTAATCTACTTCACAGGGTTGAGGCTAAAATGGAGAAGAGAATGGTGTAAGCTGCTTTGTATCACCGTTGGAGAGAAAGACAGGGTACAAATGAATCTTAAAAATTCTTACTATTGGGTAACAGCATTCAGTATAATACTAAGATACTATTTGCCTTGCTTGATGTTTATCAGATGTTTGCTTTCTTTTTAGGTTTTGCTATTGGCATGCCTATCTGTGAATTTGACTTGGTTAAAGATCCAGAAGTTCAGGACTTCAGAAGAAACATTCTGAATGTCTGTAAAGAAGCTGTAGATCTTCGAGATGCTAATGCGCCCCATAGCAGAGCACTATATGTCTGTCCCCCCAACATAGAATCATCGCCTGATTTGCCCAAGCATATATACAATAAATTAGATAAAGGTAAAAGAAGCATTTGATGTGTAGCAGTTCAGTGTGTTTGCCAAATTGTGTTTGATGAATGGGAAACTGCTTCAGCAGGGATATTAAGATAGAATGCTTCCAGCTTTGTAGGCACCCTTTAGACAGGATAATCTCCTCAGTACAAATACAGCCTTTTGTTTTAATTTATTAAAAATGCCCCTTGCTTGATGCACTCACCTTTTTTTGCTCTAGCAGTATTACAGGGTTTTATTCAGGAGATTTGTATCATCGTTAGGATTTGCTTAATAAATTACTAATGAAGTAGTGTCAGGTGCTCAGAAGAAGCGGATGCCAGGAAGCAGCACCATAGAGTATGAGGTCAGTCCAGGGCTCTGCTGTTTCCTATCCCTTTGCCCTGCCATCTCAGCCATAGTTTGATCGAGGAAATTGTGGATTCGCCTGTTTCTTTTTTTGGTCAGTCCTAAAGATACATAGGAAGGATAGAGCACGGAACGCTGCTTTGGGGTCTTTTCATTTATCCCAGGAGGTGCTTAGTGAGACTGGGAGAGCAGCCAGGCATACAACTTCTGCTTTTTATCACTTTTTTTCTGGGAGTACAGTTTGGTAAAGTATCTGTGGCATAAAGGGTGGGGGGATTTACACATATATACTATGAATTGGGCACTGGTTTAATTTTCATCACACTAGATCTGTCACCCCGAATTAATTTTGGTCTTTGCGAAGAGAAGGTCTGTTTTCTGTGATATTTTATTGGTGGCTGTTACAAAACAAATGTCTTTGTCAGCATGAAAAGTGTGTCTTCAAGTAGTCTGATGAAATCTGACCTAGTTTCATTCCATTTCAGGGCAAATAATAGTGGTCATCTGGGTAATAGTCTCTCCCAATAATGACAAGCAGAAATACACCTTAAAAATCAATCATGACTATGTGCCAGAGCAAGTAATCGCAGAAGCAATCAGGAAAAAAACACGGAGTATGTTACTGTCATCGGAGCAGCTAAAGCTATGCGTTTTGGAGTATCAGGGAAAGTATATTTTAAAAGTGTGTGGTTGTGATGAATACTTGCTAGAAAAACATCCCCTGAGTCAGTATAAGGTAAGTAGCATCTTGTACATGTTGGAATTTAATGCGACTTGTCAGAGCTGGATATTATGAGCAGTTCGAAGCTTTGAAGGAAGGCGTTTGTATGAGAAATGAAATGGAGAGAAGTCTGAGTTTAGAAGATGAAGTAATGAATCCAGCCTTACTTTGTTAATGGTTTCTTGGGGCTTTATGGGAAAATGAAAGTATGTGGTATTTCTTTCTCTTTCAGTTTGCTTTTTAAGTTACTGTTACCTGGCAAGAGATAATGTATTTGTACTTTTCCCACATTTAGACTGGTCAGGCGTCTCCTGTCGCTGTTGAGGAATCAGTGGAGGGGCGCTTTTATAGTGTAGGGCACTGTCCAGGGCTCTTTTTGTAGAAAAAGCCCAGCAGGAACTCATTAGCATAATAGGCCACACCCAACAGCAGGAACTCATTAGCATATTGGGCCACACCCACATGTTACCAGAAGTGTGGTTATCCAGTCACACCCACCTTTTGCTTGTTATTCTGTTTACCTTGTTTGTTGTCAAACCCAGGGCCTTTTTTTGTAGCAGGAACTCCTTTGCATGTTAGGCCACACACCCCTAATGTAGACAATCCTAATGAGTTTCTGCTGTTGGGTGTGGCCTATTATGCTAATGAGTTCCTGCTGGGCGTGGCCAACTTGGGAGCCAGCCGGAACTCCGTTCCTGTGCGTTCCTGCCCCAAAATAGCCCTGCTGTTTCCCAACCTGTGGGTCACGAAGCCTCTGGAAATGGGTTGCAGGCAAGCCCTCCTTAATGGCTACCCCTGCCCTTTCTATTGCTCTCTCTTGTATTTTGGAAACCAAGATCTGACCCTGGAAACAGTATGTTCCATGTCCTACATTAGCTGGTATTTTTTTCTTCACTTCATATACATGTTGATCAAGTAAAATGTGTCCTGGTGGTTACTAGAGAGACTTTCTTAGAATCTTATGGGGGTTAGAGGGTGTAATGGAGAAGGGTGTTAATGGTGGTCAAAGCCTGGAATGTAACCTCCATATGCAAAGGCTGTGTATGTCAGAATGCCACTTGCTAAGGATTCATAGTGAGGGCATAGTGTGATGTTTGTTGGTTTCTCCAAACCATTTTGTTAGCTATTGTAGAAAATGGAATGCTGAAGTAGATGGATGCCAAGGTCATAGTTTACCTGAGGCCTAAAAAACCCTTGGTCCAGCCTTGGATGGTTCACCGTACGGAGTGAATTGGGACATGAAGGTCACCATAACAAAAAAGGCTGGGAACCACTGGTGTAAGGAATGCAAGGTAGACCTTGACAGAGCCATCCAGCATGAAGTGGGGCCAGGTTCCAGGGCTGGAGAGAGGGATCAGTTTGTGTCAGCATCAATACTCTGTTCCCTTTGCGCAGTACTTCTCAGGTTGTTTGTGTGTTAAGTTGTGGTCTGCTAACAGTTTGCCTTCAGTAGGGAGAGGAGTAAGCAAGCCCTGTTTATTAGATTGTTAAGGCTGCAGTCCTAAGCATACCTATTTAAAAATAAACCTCCTTGACTTCACTAGACTTTGCAGCCCAATCCTGCATGTATTCCCTTGGAAAGCAGTGGTGAAGCTTTCCTCTTTACAATGGGGGAGAGGGGACTAAACAGTATTTTATGTGAAGGGTGTTTAACCTCTAGTTACATTTTGCAAAACATTGCAACATTAGTTTTTGCCCCAATGAAAATAACCAAATCAGGTGGATGTTATCTAGTATTTGCACCTGTAACTAGGGGTGTGCAAAAATATATATTTTTGATTTGGGTGTATTGGGCCTGAAAAATATCAGTATTCCCGAATACCAATATCCATTTTATATTGGGATTTGGGTACATATTCGGGAAACCCATTTTTTTCCGGCTCCATTATACCCTATGGGGACCATCCCCATAGTGTATAGTGGAGAAGGGATTTAAACTTTAAATGCTTACTGAGTTCACTCCCTGAATCATGCTGCCACCATGACACAACTCAGCGAGTAAACTCAGAAGGGATTTAAACTTTAAATGCTTGCTGAGTTCACTCAGCAAGCATTTAAAGAGACCATGGTCTCTTTAAATTCCTTCTAGCCCCACCCAAATAAAAGCTGAATAGTACTGCCTTTTATTCAGGCATGGCTATTTCAATAGCTGAATACAGATCTCTGGTAATACCATAAGGCATTCTTCGGGAATTTATTCAGCTCAGAATATACCGAGCACCCACCCCTACCTGTAACATTCAGAATTCTTACTGGATGTCATTGTCTACTGAATGTTGCAAATCTTGAATACTAGCTTCAGTTAAAAAAATATAGCCCAGTTGGTCCTGAGTAACACAGGTTAATGGTGGTGTTATAGTAATTGCAGTTAAGCAGTAACGCTATAACAACTTTCAGTGCAAATAACTGTCTCCCCCCCCCTTTTTTTTGCAGTACATCCGAAGTTGTATCATGCTTGGTCGAATGCCCAACCTCATGCTGATGGCAAAGGAAAGCCTTTACACCCAGCTGCCATTGGATAACTTCACAATGCCATCTTATTCCAGGCGTATCTCTACAGCTACGCCATACATGAATGGTGAAGCTTCAGCCAAATCTCTCTGGGTTATTAACAGTAATCTCAGAATAAGAATTCTCTGTGCCACCTACGTAAATGTAAATATTCGAGATATTGACAAGGTAAACACCAGCTCTGTGTGCCTGAATATGATAAGTATACAGAAGCATATTTGCAACAAGCAATTCTTTTAAAAAATAGCTGGGTCCTGTATCTCTGCAGTGTTGTAAAAAGTCAGGTCCAGTGAGTTTGAACTCTGTGGCCCCCATGTAGATAAACTAGCAGACAAGTGATCCAAACAAACTGAACTAGTTAGTGAGCTCTCTAGCCTGGGAGTGAGGCAGACCTGGTCACTGCGATCTGTCCTTTCCCGACCATCCCAGTTCACAGCCTTGAGCCTGCCTTTGAGTGGCTGTTTCTCAGTTACAGAATTACCTTTCTCTGCACTTCATGCATCTGATGAAGTGAGCTTTGACTGGAAGGGGGGGGGAACTGATATAAACGTTATTAGTGTTTAAGCTGGCTTTCATCAATGTGGTCAAACTTCAGAAAGTCTCCATAGGAAGATTCCTATGGAGACTTCAGGAAGTTCTGACCACACTGCAGAAGTTCTGTGGAACCTTTGAGTCTGGGCCAGCTTTCAGTGGCTGGGATTAAGCTGCTAGTAGATGGGTTTTTACCATATACTGATATGGAATCATTTCATTCTGTGGCTTGTCCATATTTTAAAAGCATTGTTTGTTCATTCCTTGTCCTCAAATGGACTGGTCTGCAAATGTAAATGAGACTCCCCCCCCCCCCCCCGGGGAGCGATGGAACAGCAGTTCTGGTGTGAGCTTAGGTACTTCTGCTGACCCTCATATTTCATTTGTAGACTCTGCCCAATAAATAAATGTTAATTTTAAGATATGAGAAACTTTAGTCTAAATAAGTACTGACCAACAGCAATGTTCCCTCTAAGCTGTGGAGTCTTCTGAGCAAGAATTCTACTTTGTGAGCACAGTCATAGCCATTTGATGTACAATGAAATAAATTGCAAAACCGACACCTGCCTTGTAAAACCCTGCATTTTGGTGTAGTATAGTTATGTGTTTAATCGTGCTGTTTTCAGATCTATGTCCGAACTGGTATCTATCATGGAGGAGAACCATTGTGTGATAATGTGAATACTCAGAGAGTACCTTGCTCCAATCCCAGGTAAATAATAGCTCTAAACCAATGAAAAAGAAACCTGGTGTTGGATGTTTGGTGCGTTTGGGCTCTTCTTTTCTTTTTTAATATTTTGTTAACAGAGCATACCACACTGTTAATAATTCATAATCAAATTCTGGGTGATTTGCAGGACACGAAAATTACTATTATATTTGTCCTACAGATGATTATTTCATCCACTGCTATAAAGAACAGTTTTAAAATGGTTTTCTTAGGAGTATGGTGCCTCACTTTTGCCTGCATTGACTCATCATCGATGAGTAGATCCAAATAGGCCAGATTTACTCTTCACTATGAGAGCGAGCCAGAAAAGGTTTCTTTAGCTAATCTTTGTGCTTTCTCAGCTAGTAAAGGTTGACCTGAACTGCATGGTGTATCTAAAGAGCATGCTGTGTTTTGAATTTCTGCTTCTCACCATTCTCCCTTTATTTGTTGGGTGCCGTTTACTGGGCATCCTATTCTAATGAATATATAGACTTAGTCTGCAAGAGGAAGGAGGGGAGTTCTTGTTTGTTCCACACACACACCCCATTGCAACCCTTTCCCTATATATCCCTCAAAGTAAATAAGAACCTCCTGATGATCCCTGGCCCAAAGGATATTCGTCTGTCCTCAACTAAGGTGCTGGCCTGGTGGAACTCTCTGCCTAATGACATCTGGGCCCTGCAGGACCTAATGCAGTTCTGCAGGGCCTGTGAGATGTTCCACCAGGCCTATGGTTGAGAACAGCAACCGTTTGCCAACAAGCCTGGCCTCTCTGTCTCCCCCCTCCCCCCTTTGGAAAGGGATATGGAATATTCAACACCATCTGACTACTTAATTATTGGTGTTTTGTTTTTAAATCTTATTCTATATATATATGCATCTTATTTATTAGAATGGTATTTATGAGGTATTGTTAACCGCTCTGAGCCCTTAGGGGGAGGGTGGAATAATAATAATGATGATGATGATGATGATGATGAGATTGGATTTATACCCCGCCCTTCACTCAGAGTCTCAGGGAAACAATAACAATAATCTAGGAAACTTTTAGTCTGTACTGGTCCCCAAAAACATGGTATAACTTTTTGTTAGGGAAGAGGACAGTGGGAAATGATTTGCTTCCACCACTGGAAAGCTGATAGCATTCACCCCATAGTTCACTAAGTAATCCTGAGGTGTGAGCTCTTGCCCCAGTGAGAAACCTAGAAATATTGGCTTCTGCAAGAACCAGAAGGATGAATGCTGCTCCATTGCAAGGCCCTATTATTTGTGTCATGTAGAAATGGCTACTATTTAAAACAGTTGAGAAACTTCTGGTGGCTGAATTCAGAATAGAAAATGAACGTTTCCTATGGGAGAACTTCAGTCTTCTGAATCAGTATTCCAGCATGGAACGTAAGCACTACATTGCTACATGAGATGAACATGTGAATATGACCCCAGAATAGTTAGCAAATCAGTGTTTCCTTTAAAAAACCTTCCTTCAGATATTGGCTTATAATGTATCTTGTACTGTTTTTGTCCCTCTCTCCTATCAGTCGCTCCTTTAAAAGCAAACGTTGAAGTTGAGCTGTTGTGAACTTGAAATGTAAAACCACATCATGGACTTGCATGCTAAATTTCATTGTGTACCCTCAGTGCTCAAGGGTGACATCATGCTACCCAACCCCCGAAAAACACAGAATGCCAAACAAGCATTAAATGAAAACCTGGCTTCACTCAGCCAAAATTGCACAGATTGTTTTTCATTGCAAATAGAGCAGGCAATTTGGTAAGCGTTTTTTGTTAAATTCCTGAGTGCCTTTTGGTTAGATTCCACCTTTCCCCCCCACAGATGGAATGAATGGCTGCAGTATGAGATGCATATCCTTGATCTCCCACGTGCTGCCCGGCTTTGCCTTTCTATCTGCTCAGTTAAAGGTAGAAAGGGTGCGAAGGAGGTAAGTATAACACTTTTTTTTTTAAAACCAAAACTTTTTTATTTTTTTATAATACATACAATTCACAACGTACATGCTTTCAAATGATTTCCTGCACTGGCCCACGGGTGCACTGGAGAGAGGTTATAGAATGGGTTGTGCTACTTCAGACTGCTGGTGGGAGTGTCAGGTTTTTCTTGCATCCATCTGTAAAAAGTCCTGTAAATTAAAACTGGCATATGAGGGAGATAGATACTAGCCTGGCCCTCTGTAGGCCATGCTAGCTTTTTGTTTCCAGGGAATTAATTTGCCTGCAGTCCAAAGTGGTTCAGTCCATAGTGCTTCCCCATTATATCATTATGGGGAGGGGGTTGTGGCTCAGTGGTACAGCATTTGCTTGGCATGCAGAAGATCCCAAGTTCAACCCCGACATCTCCATTTGAAAGGTAGTTGGTAATGAGACATACTCTCTACCTGAGACCTTGGAGAGTTGCTACCAGTCTGAGTAGATAGGACTGACCTTGATGGACCAGTGGCCTGATTCAATACCAGGCAGCTTCATGTCATTCTGTTGCAGGCGTAGACCAGGCCTGTGTTGACCTTTAACCTATGATGAATTACTTAAAAGTTGCTTTGTGATCCACGCGTGGCTTTTTCAACTGCTAGCTTCTGAGTCTTTTAAACCTGTAATGTGGTCATTAATAGGTGAGACTAAACAGTGACTGTTTGCTCTTTTTAAGGAGCACTGCCCATTGGCGTGGGGGAACATTAACATGTTTGATTACACAGACACTCTTGTTTCTGGCAAAATGGCTCTGAATCTGTGGCCCGTACCTCATGGTCTGGAAGACCTGCTCAATCCCATTGGAGTTACTGGATCAAACCCAAATAAGGTAAATGGACGTCTCGCGTCAATCTCTGACCTGTGTTTTCATTTTTTTAGTTTGCTGTGTTAAATCACGGTTTCTTAGCACACCATAGTGGTCTTCTACTCACAAAAAAGTCACAGTTCCCCGGAGTGTAACTAAGGCCTGTTTCTGTTGTACAGTAGATGAGCTGGTAAAACTGCTTTATTGTTCCACTTCTTATGAAGAAACACGATGGAATGCTCTTCCATAATCTCTGCACATGGGAAGCTGGCAAGTGAGGGAAGCAGGATTCGAGTCCACTAGCACCTTAAAGGCCAACAAGATTTCCAGTGTATAAGCTTTTGAGCATAGAGTCCACCCTCCAAAGCAGCCATTTTTCCCCAGGAAAGTGATCGCTGTCATTTAGAGATCAGTTGTGTTTCCAGGAGGTCTCCAGACCTCACCTGGAGGTTGGCAACCCCAAACATGGGAAATAATCACGTGGAAGCAGCCTCTTTCTTTTTTATTTTTAAATGTAAGACCAGAGTTCTAAGGACTTTATTTCCCGTATCGACTTCAAGCTCATAGCCATTCTTATCAATAACAATCCTCCATCTAATGCTGATTTAAGTAATTATAACTTGCGTGATTTGAAAAGTCAGCCTTCTTTAGTGGGTAGGATTTGACTGCATGAGGCCAAAGACCATAACAATATAATGACAGCTGCTCGAGCAGTAATAGATATTACAGTAAAAACGCAACAAGGTTAAAATTGTCAGGACCAGGACATAGCGGAGGATACAGCAGGCTGAGCAATCAGGGCAGAAGTTTTGCACGAATTTTCTTGGCAGCCAGTGCATATAGTGAGATTGTATAAGTGACATAATGATCATCATCAGATAAGAGGTGGATGATTTTGTCTGCCACTGAATGTGAGGCTAGCCTGGCTAAAATGGCTGCAAGGAACTTGGCCCTGGGAGCCAAGTAAAGGTCACAAAGCAGGACATAATGAGGGAGATCCTCCAATTCCAGAGCTCCACAGATACATACTCACTGAGCAACTGGTGTATGCTGATAATTGCCAGCTAACATACCGGTTGTCATTGTTTGAAATATGAGGGCTGTGAAGGCTTCTAAAAGTTTGTGGTAGGTGATGCTGAACAAATAGGATGCTCTGGTGTGATCCCGTTTGAGCAGTTTAAACCATGGGGGAAATCTAGAACTGATAATAGTTCTCCTATCTAAGGTGGCATCTGTATTGAACATCAGATCCTGAGTTTTTGAACTCATCTAGAGGAAAGCCCCAGGGTCCAACAGAAAAGCCTGTAATAGCTGGCAACTGAAGAGGCGTCTTTCTGGAGCTGGATAAAGCACTGCTTAGAAAGATGACTAGAAGGAGAATTCTTCAACTTTCTCCAGTAATTAATTAAGGCAGTGTGGGCACCAGCCCTAATAGAAGGCAAGCTAGATTCAGCTCACAGCAGGGCAGCTGGAGTGCCCTGAGTCAGGATCGAAATTATCTTTAGAAAGGAGTTTTGTGTTATCTCCAGGCTAGATATTGTGTTGTCGTCCCAACCCCAGATCTCGACCCCATACAAGAGTTGGGTAATTATTTTAATGTTTTAGGTTGGTGTGACTTATTATTGATAACAGACCAAGACATTTGAACCCTAGAAAGCAGAGGTGCGCTTAGTGGTACAGCCCCGAGGCAATTTGACCTCTTTACCACCTGCTTATGAGAACAGCCTACGAATAGCTTGGCTGTTAGAGCTCTCTTTTGCAGTAGGCCCCAGGGCAGGCAGGCAGAAAACAAAATTGGAAATGGAACCATTCGGAACTGCAGCACACTTTATGATCCTTGAATTAATGGGAAATTGTGGTTAATGCACTGGCCTGTTTGTTGTCCACCTCTAGAAATTGATTCCAAATGAGGGGAAAGACATACTGAGAACTGATCTTTCATGGGCCATGAAGTACTAGCCAGTAGTCCTTAGCAATTGTTCATGTCCTCTAAAGATACCTATCATATGTTCGTGGAAAT